TCTGGAAGTCGGTGAGCAGGAGCCTCACTGTGTCTTTAGCATTCCAGTAAAAATCTCATCATCTTTATCCTGTTTCCTCTTTCATCCCATGATGCATTTCATCACTAATTGCAATGTCTTCCAGGATGACAACACTTTTATCTACTAGGCGTAAGAGCAGCGAACTGAACAGCATGATAATGATGTTGAAAATACAGCAATTTATCCTCCATAACCAGGCAGCCAGGCCGAGCATCGGGGGAGAATCCTCACTGGGGTTTAGCTAATAAAATCTCTTATTATTGAGTGTTAACACAAATGATCCAGCAGAAGAAGAGTGATCTGATTTATGTGTTTCCTGTGACTTTGGGTGGAAAGATGGAGGATTTAAGGTGGACTAAGTGTTATCATGGCTGCTTCAGTTCCTCAGTGTAAAATATTTTTGGAGGATTTTAGAAGAGATGGGGAAATCTAAAAGATTAATGCTCCAGAAACACGCTGTGATTGTCTGGGAGACTTTCTGTCTTTATTAAATCTGACAGAGACCAAACAAGGAATGCAATCCCACATTTTGGAAGCATACACTCAAAATAAAGCCAGAAATAACTCATCTGTGTGATCGTAAGACATTTCTCTCATGACTCCATCGCCTCATTTCCAGCAGCTGTTAGAGGAGGTTTACACGGGCCGTAAAGTTTTATCAGTCCAGAGATAAACTGTTAGGAAATGTCGAGCAGACGGAATAGCGTTACACTTAAGTGTGATGCAGAACTGTCCCAACCAGAGTGTCTTATTGGTGACTGCGGGTAGGAAAAAGCACAGCCGTACTGCAGCCTGAGTAAAACAAAGTTAGAAATACTTTCCAGGGGCTTCTGTGTCTTTGTCCTTGTCTCTTTGTGTCTCTCCAGTTCTGTTCAGGGGATTTAAGGGGATTCAGGTGCTCTTTGTAGTCTAGGACTAACTTCTTTCCAGCCCAGAAACAAAGTCCAACCTCACCCCTGTTTGCCCCCCAAACTTCAATGAGCTAAAGACGGCTGCTTATCTGGGCAGGAGAGTGCACCACCCTGCAGAGGTCAGAAATCACCTGAGTGGAAACAGTATTTATTATAATTTATGCTGAATTTGACCCTGCAGATCATTCAAATAAAAGAGAACGGATCTATTTGCATGAAATGTTTTAGCCTCTTAAAAATGAGATGTGGTGTGTTTTATCCTTGTCTAGAGGAGCTTTTTAGCATTCGACTGTAATTTCTGTCCATGCAGTAAAGACTTTATACCTTTGACATCAGGGAGGTCATTCAGCTGGTCGCTACCCATTTTACTGTCCTGTTCATGTCCGAAAAAGTGACACATCCGCAGGATACATAAGGCAGGAATCCAGGTAAACTTGACATCAGCTGGGAATCAAAACACACTCAAAATAGAGGACCCCACTGCAAGATAATCAAGCCACTATTAGGTTTTATACCCTTTACAACAAAAGTCAGCAAAAGTCCAGGTTTTGTGATGGACTTAAACATAATTTTATAACATTCCCCCATGGTGTGGGGCATGAATTTTCTTATGTTTTCATTTTAAATATGATGTGTAATATCTATAATCCCAGGGGAGCCTTGAATACAGCCAAGCGGGACACCACAGTAAAGTAAAAGTCAACCAGACAACAAACGCAGCCATTATGACAACAGTAAACACGAGGAAGAAAGGAAGATGGATGTGAGAAGTGGAAGACCACCTCCTTTTTGGGCAACAAATCAGAGTTTATGCAACATGTCCTATACAGAATCTCCCAATGAAAGGGGAGCTTGCTGGAAACTGCAACAAGAGAGGAGGTACTTGGAAGTTAAGAAGCTTGCAACTCATGGACATGTATTGCTCTCCACACACTATCAAGACAAAAGCATCTAAACAAACACTCACCATGAACCAATATGCTTCATGTTTGCAGTTTTTGCCACTTCTGCATTTGATGTTCTCCCTTCTTCCATCAGCTGACTAACTTGCTGTTGAGTTCATGCTCGCCCATTAACATTATGATGTCAAGCCAGGGAAGTGACACTTGTCTTCAGTGGATATTGGAGGGAAGAAGCCTTACACCACAGGAGAATCTGGGAATATTATATTGGGAACTATCTGATAATTGGGCCTTTGCTGACTTTTGTTGGAAGAGGGAAATCAGGCTTAAATTCAACACAATAATCAAATTCACAGCATTTATGTGGTTAAAACATACCTAACAGCTAATCAGGAACTTGTATTTGCTCTGGCCTCAAGGAATGGGCTTTCACACAGCGAGGCAAAGCTCTGGAAAGTGTTTCAATAGAGCGTACATTCACTCTAAGAATCAAGTTTCGGTTGAAGGTTGTTTAAATGATCTCAATGATGTGGTAGAGCTGACCCCGTCTGCAGAGGATGATCCTTCAGCTCCAGACACTGAGGAGAGAGAGAAGAATCAGAAAAAGGAGGTGGGAACTAAATCCAGAGAAAAGACAGCAGAGTGATGGAGCAGCTTGCAAAAAATTGGCAGTAAAATAATATAGAAACTATTAAAGCCAGCATCCCATGAAAGTTGTGAACCAGCTGAAAATGAATGTGAGAGGTTACGTAATGGCTGACAGATGGTGAGGATACGATATGATGGGATTGGTATTAGAAAAGGTAATGTGCAGCAACAATCCCCCCACAGAGAATTCATTTAGGGATAGTCACTTATCTGATCTGTGTATTCCTCATACATGGCTGTCTGCACACACACACACACACACACACACACACACACACACACACACACACACACACACACACACACACACAGTGTGACAGAGTCATGTTTTCAGATGTGCTCTTTCTAACTTTAACTGCAGCCTGAAGGTCAGCGTGGAGGACCTGCAGATCTGTTTAAAGAAGAAATGTCGGATAGAGTCGGTATGAATAAGAAATGATAAATTCATAAAAGATTCAGCCCTGTCTATACTCAGATTTTAGCCTCTGACTCGGTGTCACTTGTGATGTACCACACCCTCTCTGATGACTTCAGGCTGCCGTCTGAGCTCAGTCAGCAGTCACCGGTCAGCAGGTCTGCTGTGGTGACGTGTGCGGCAGGATGAGCTGACCAGGTGAAGGTGCATCTACAATTCAGAGCTGGGAGGTTCAAAACTCACCACAAAGTCTGATTGTTACCTACAATTCCCCTGTTGTCACTGTTTTCTGGGAACTTAGCACTATTTGATGAAGACAGAATAAAATATAAATTAAAAATATACTTGGAGATCAAACAGTGAGCTTGTTCAGGGGGTTTCTGGGAAATAGACATGGAAGTAAGTGTTGATTTTAACTATGATTAACAGGGTTAGATTGAGTTGTACTTGTAGAGAAAAAAACAGCAAATTGTTGGTCATTTTATTCTGTGGTCAGATTTTTTAGGACTAAAGTCTGTAAAAAAATGTAAAAGCTCATTTAGCAGCTGAGGATTCACTAACTTTTATTTGAGAGTCCAAAAACTGTGTGTAAGAGACACAATCAAAGACAAAAGGAAAGACATGGACTTTATGTGTACATTTGCATTTCTTTCTGTTGTTTAAACTCATTTATAATTTTTTCTCTGTTAATATTGTGTATCTAGTTTGTAGGATTCACAAATTGCCCCAAATTGGGTCACGATACAATATTTTTGTGATTTTTAACATTTTGCAATACAGTGAGTATTGTGATACAATATACTGCGATTTATACATTTTTTCAACTATTTTGCTTATTAAGCATTTGTCTTTCCTTTATGTTTGTCTAGTTTATGCTGTATTTTATTTTCATATAGCACTTGCAAACCTTATATATTTATTTGTTGTAGTAACTTTCTCGTGTTCTATAATGTCACCTCTGCCAACCGCACTGGACAAACAATTCATTTTATTTTTAAATTATCATAGATTTGACTTCATATTAACAATTAATTTGAAAAATCGATACTTGGTCAATGAGACGATACGATATATCACGGGACAAAATATCGTGATACTATGCTGTATCGATTTTTTCTCACACCCCTATCAGCAAGCACCTATCCAGTTGCAGGTATTCAAATGAAATCAAATCAAATTTTATTTCTATAGCGCCAATTCATAACAGTCGTCTTCCCAAGACACTTTTCAAAGAACAAGAGCAGGTCTAGACCACGTTCATTGTTAGATGAATTATCAAGACACAACCTAAGATGGGATTTGGCCCATCTCATCTAACATGAGTAGCAGTGGCAAGGAAAAACTTCCTTTTAACAGGCAGAAATCTTGGGTAGGACCAGACTCATGTTAGACAGCCACCATGCCACTGCTGGGTTGGGGAGGAATACAGAGAGATAGGGGGAGAGAGGGAGACAGGGAGAGAGAGAGAGAAGTGGAGAGAGGGCAGGGGGAGAGAAAGAGAACAAGATAGAGGGAAGGAGAGAGAGAATAAGTAAGGGAGAGGGTGGGAGAGAGAGTGGAGAAAAACTGCAAAATAAAATAATGTTAATCATCTTGCTGATAGTCTTGTTTGCTTTTGGATATCATTGAAAGGCATCAATATGTTTTTGTTGTTTCTCAGCTTGAGAAACTTTTAAGCCTCTTTAAGTTCTCTTCACTCCTCTTAATGGTTTTTCACTGCAGGAGCTCTCTTAAGGACTAAAAGGCTTTGTGAATATTAAGATCTAATCTTAATTTCAGAAAAATCTTAAAAAATGTCAAAATTCTTAAAGTTTTCAAAGAATTTTTTCACTCTAGGTGTGACTCTTGAGACTGGGAGGCTTTGTGAATATGGGCGTTAGTGAAAATTGTGTTTGTTTACATGCAGCCTGTCCTAAAAATGAAACGTTTAGGGGTTTTGTGTTACTCAGTCATATTGTACTCTACAGTAACCCCTGCAGAAAGCACGATAAAAGCATCACAGTGCAACCTTTATAGTTATAATAGAAAAGGACAAATTAAAATAACGTACGCAGCATAAATAAGGCAGGACTCTCTTTTGGAAGCACCTGGCAGCTGTTTGAAGCTCCCAGACGTGTAGAGATTCAGAAACACACCTTACATTCTGCCAGATGAGCGCTAATGCACTGACAATATAACCTGCGGGTCACAAATCAGACATGACACTGTAGAAACTGAACCCATACGGTAACATTTGCATCATCAATGTCTTTATGGAGGCCATTTGAGATGAAACGCTGAGACATGTATTCTCAATTACACCCAGAGCGGAACACCAAAACCAAATCTTTTCCATCTGCTGGATGAGACGCCTCCTGACAGACTGTCTGTTTGCATGAAAATAGATTCATTATTGAGTAATATTTTCTGTGTTGGACATCTGTTTGCTGAAACGTTTGGCACAGTGAGGAAATAACCACACGCTCTTTCATATTCAGTCAGTCTTATTGTCTCTTAATGTGGCAGTCTCATATATGTGTCTGTGTTTTTATCCCAGCTGACCCGCTGCACCTTCATGTTGTAGGAAAGGCACATGTTGATGGCCTCACCTTCCCAGCAGGTGTTTATTTTCCTTAATTATAATCCTGCTGATATGAAGTGAATGGAATTGAATAAACAAAGCCTTGAGCCAAAGCGTGGATTCTATTTACAGTGGATAATTGGTATGGGGATGTCTAGACTCCAGCCTATTAGACACAGCTTAGCCGACCACGCCGCTGCCGCTGATACCACGCTTGTATTAATCTGAGCAAATAATGAAACGCAGAATGAAAAATGCACCTGAGGCAGATCTGCAAAACCTTCCTGAGAATAATAAGCGAGAAACAAAGATGACGAGCAGACTGCAGCGATGCATCAAGGAGGGAGTGCAGGTCAGGCACAGATATTTATCACTTCTGTTAAAAGATGGATCGATCTCTCGTCTTTGTGTCTGTGCAGGGAGCAGGACGCACAGAGCGCAGCCAACAAGCACGAGTGTTTGTTATGTAAGAGGAGCTTTGTCATTGGACGTATCTGTCCTGTTCTCTCCCACATCTGCCTGTAATGTACTCCTTATGTTTCTAATACCTTTTTTGTAGTTCTGAGCTAAATCAGATGGGGACACAGTGGTGAAAATGCTCAGATCACTGGGCAGGTCTGCTGTCATGTGGTGGGATGTGTTAACTTCTACTTTAAATAAAAATATGGGGCCAACCTCAGTCTTAACCAGCACATTCACATCCAGTTTTAACCCCTGGGTTTAGAGTCTTCAGAGTATGTTTGAGTATTTTTAACAGGGTTAAGGAAGTGTAGTTCACTTTGTTTTGAAGGGACTTTGTTTGAGATGTTTGGCTTCTTTCTCTTTTTTTGTGGGAAGGGAGCTGACACTTGTCTTTTTTATGTTTGTGAACACGAGGAGAAGTTCAACTTAAATGAATAAGAGCTGTTTCTGAGATCCGGACTTTTAGGTATAAATATATTTTCTCCAGACTTTTAGGACCCAGGACTGGTATGTGTGCTTGGTTTAAGACCAGTCCAGCTTGGTGTCCGGCCACAGTCCAAGGAACACAGTCCACAGCCTCCACCTTGACTCCTTCAATCAGAACTGGTCTTGAACTTTGTCTGGACCTCCCAAAATCAATGACCAGTTCCTTGGTCTTCGAGGCATTGAGGTACATATGCACCGTCCCCTGAGGTACTCTGGTACTGCTAAACAAAGTGTCAGACATGATGTCCTTCAGCCTCACCTACTGCAGCCTGTTGGTGAGGTACGTGGCTGGAGATCCAGACGAGGCAGGAGTCCACTTACATCCTGCTCAGTGATTCTCATGGTGCCACTCCCCTTATCCAGATGGGAGTGGGCTCAGTGTAGCAGGTAGAGGATGGCATCCTTCAACACCTGCCCAGCATGCAAAACCAGGGTCTGAGAGGCTGAGGACGAGCCACTCTATTATCTTCATCTGATGTGAAGTTGTGCCACCGGTCGGAAGTCATTTAGCTTGCTGGGTTGGTTCTTCTCAGGAATTGGAATGATGCAGGATGTCTTCCAGAGGGTGGGCACTCTCCCCAGCTGCAGGCTGAGGTTAAAGATTCTTTGGAGTGGTTCACTCAGTTCAGCAGCACAGGTCTTTAGAAGCTTAGGGCACACCTTGTCTGCACCAACTGCTTTCCTGGGATGTAGTCCCCTCAGCTGACCTCTGACCTGGTCCACAGTGATGCTTGGAAAGGTCTGTGTTGAGGTGGGGACTAAAGAAGAGGAAGGGGGTACTATGATGACAGGGGGAAGGTGTGTTGAGGGAAGAAGGAAAGATGGTTGCAGTAAGGGGAGGATGGGCAAGGGGGCAGAGGCTGGCTGAGCCTGTTGAAAAGTCGCCCGGTTCATTCACCCTCTCCCCTGTTCCCCCTGTGGCTCTGGTCTTGGTGTTGTGACCTGTGATGGTATTCACACCTTCCTAGAACTCCCTCATGTTGTTTTCCTTCAGCTTCTGCTCCACCTTCCTCCTGGAGATGTCTTTTGCTTCCCTAACAGTGTTTCATTGCCTCCCTGTCCCTGCTCCTATCGATGGCTTCTTGAAATCTTTATGTTTTCATTCTTTCTGCATTAGAATTAATTCAGTACCCGTGACTGAAGTCAGTTTTGATATGTTCAAGCTTGCACAAAGGCGACCACTGAGTATGGACATCTTTTCTCTAAATAATATGGTAATATTTTAATTTTGATGCAGATTCTTGTAAATACATAGGCACTTGTATTATTGCTCACAAAGTAGACATGGCCAGACTTGCTTAAGCACAGTTGCAGCTAAAATTACTGCTCCACAGTCTGTCAGGAACTTGTTTCCTTTGAACAGATCAGCTGAATTTGATGAAAAACTATGCTTACTGTATTATGAAGAGAGCTCTAATTTTAACCTTCCATCTTACTTTTGATTTTATTCTTCGTTCTCATGTTAGAACTTGTACACAGTTTCTGTGCTGGAGGTGAGAAGTGTATGAGAGCCTGCAGGCTGTCACAGCCCCGGCGTGGACCTCCCAGAGGGCGAGCCTCGCTGCCCATCACAGCAAATGTGGGAGTCCGTTTATTGACCCCATATACCTCAGCGGGCTTCGACATGTTGGTTCTGAACGCTGAGGCTTCAAGTTGCCTGCCAGCAGAGCAGCTGAGTAAACACAGCACCGGTTCATCTGCCCACAGGAAAGCTTTAGAGCGGATCAATAGTTAAAGAGCCATAATTAGGTGGAGATGGACTGATAGGAGGAGTCTAAATGAACACATTTTATTAGCACCTTCAATTTTCTCTGCAATCTGGTCATCTGCAGGCTTTTATTTGCAAGGTTTTTATTTCCCTGTCATGTATTATTTTAATTTTTTGATATTTTGCTTTCCCCTTAAACTGCATATAAGCACACTTCAATCTGAATGGAAATGTGTCCTATGATAAACCACACACTCCATAAACAGACAGCTGTGTGCTTGTGTGTGTGTCTGAGAGGAGGTTGTGCTTTGCCTCGCAGGGTCCGTTAACATCAGCATCACTGTGAGGGGATGGAGAAGCTGTTTTTAATGATCCCCAGAGACCACCACTATATTTACCATAATCCTGAGCCTGAGGGAGCATCAACTTCTAATCACCTCCATCTCCCCTCCCTCTGCAGATAGAGATCAGTGCCCATTATTACCCTCATAAAGCACCATGGTTTAACATGATTGTCTCTGTACAGAGCAGCTCCAACACACTGCATAGTGGTGTGTCGGTCATGAACGAACGGATCAAAAGAACTAGTTCTTTTTGGTGAACGAAATGAGCGAGGTCACCCTCCCTAAATGATCCGTTCAGTCCGTTCAGTTCTTTTGATTGACTGAAGAGTCAGTTCACCGTTATTTAGGGCGGGACTATTTCTGCGCTTGTCTGTTTTATCCTATCATCGCCTCACTCTGTGGGTGGGTGGGGATTAGAGAAGCAGCAGCAGTACTGAGCTGACTGAAAGACCGGGACCGATGACCGACTCGGTCTCTGTCTTTTCAGTCAGCTCGGTCTGACCGAGAGATTGACCGACTCTCAGACTGACTGAGTACAAGCGTTCACTCTCTGCGAGGTGCTGTCAGCCTGTCACTAGCCGACCGACTTGTGAATGCAACGGGATGTACTGAATAAAATAAAGTATAAGGCAGTCTCTTGCGGGGGGGTATCTGTACTCACGAGTCCAACGAACAGTGCACGAGACGACAGCCGAGCCCGAGTGAGTGGGACAGTCACACACACACACAGCTGCTGCTGCAGCCAGAGGCAGAGACTCACTAGCAGAAGGTTTAGCAAACTAAGCTAACAAACAGCGGTTGATAAGAGTACGCAGGGGTTGCTTGAGGCAGCCAGATGCGTTTGTCAAGCAAAATATCCCGATGCTGTACGGTGTCTGTGTACAGACACATCTGTATTCAGCCACCATTTGAATTAGTACCAATGCGTAATGTGCTAGCCTAGCTATATAGCTTGGTTTAGCTGGGTCAACATGCCGGTGTTTCGGTGTAAAAAGTGACCCTGTTACCTGGAGACTTTTGAAAAAATGCGCATGAGATTGTCCCAAGTCGCACAGCTGTTGAATACATATTCTTAGATCTCTCTGTGTTTTGAATGTCAGCAAAGACGTATCTGTTGGAAATACTTGATGTTATTGTCACAAAGGGAGCTAAGAGGGTCTCGTTCTTCAGAGTCTGAACAGATCTCCCCCTGCATCAACCCAGTCAGCAGTGTTGAGTCAGTCCGTCGCTCATGTTCACGTTTGTTTATTTGAAAGTTCATGTTTTCTTGCATTTAAGGTCTGAGTAAAATTGACCAGTCAGTTTGCAGGAAAAACAGCAAAACCAGCCAGGACAAAATTCATCTCAGTGCCCATCAGCAATGATTCAATAAGCATTTATTTCTCTCTTTGCACAGATAAATCCATGCGAGTGAAGCAAACAGTCTGCTCTAGATTAGATTTTCTAACTTCCTAAAATGCACAACAATAGATCACTCTGATCATCTTGTCCTGCCAGACTACAGGACTGCCTGAGTGAAGCCTAGATTTTCTGCATCTAAATGATCTAAAAAAAAAATTAAAAAGGGAAAACTGATCACATTTCACACATGCACTGTTGAAATATTCTGGAAATTGGTAGAAACTGATTGAAAATGATTCTCCGTCTTCTGCTTCATTAGTTTGTATTCATCCTGTTGCATTTCACTGTTCTAGGTTTGTACTTATCATGTATACTATAAAATAGGGCTGCACGATTTTGGCCCAAAATAAAATTCAGATTTTTTTTCTCAGAATACTTGATTTCGATTTTTTATTTAGTGATAACTGCACCCAACTAAACTTTAAAAATTTTTCTATCATCTCTCAAAACAAACCCACTAAAAACAATGTAGTACATATGTCAAGCCAGTAAGTGGCACTGTAACGCTGCACAGGAAATGCACAAAACACAGAAGAAGAGTACGTAGCGTGTGTATAGTAGGTGTTTTGGCTGAACACACGTGTAAAACAGTTACACTATGTGTCACATAATAATTTTGAGAAATGCAGACAGGCATCCACTCAGAGATGAAATGGTAGTCATTTACGGATTAATGCACTCTCTAACCCATTTTCAAAAAGTATCGTTTACAGAAAGGTGACCCAACATCCCCAATTTCCGGGCACAGTCCGTGTTTTGGATGACCTGTCCCCAGCCAAGGCTTTCCCTGAAATGTCCCTGATTTAAGCGTTTCATTAATGAGAAAAAAACATGTTGCATGTAGACTAGAACAAGAGTTATTACGGTAGCTGAGTAGGTAGGAAGCGCGAGTAAGAATGTTGCGCGCAGTCCTGAACAACAGGAGCTGGTACTAAATAGTATCAAGTTGTTGTCTGTGATCACAAAGCCGAGCCCCCCCCCCCATCAGAAATAGAGGACCTGAAATTTGCTCTGCACCACTCACCCCCTAGATCTGGACACCGT